GTTGAGGTCTGCCTGGAGCTCAGGTTCCACTGACTGGCCCCTGGGTGGGGGGAGGCAGGCTGGTGGGTGCTGGTGGGCCTCAGAGGGCCCAGGCAGCGCAGTGGCCTCATGGTGGCTCCCTAGGGACAGTGTCAGAGAGCCCTGCTCCTGGTCTGCTTCTGTGTCCCACTGCCCAGAGGACCAGGTCTCACTCCCCAGCCCCACAAGACTCCCCTCTGGTGAGCACAGGCCGCTCACTGGCCAAGTGCCCAGGGTGGGGTGGGGGGTCAGCAGTCTCACCCAGCCTGTCGCTGGCATCCCCCCACCCGCAAGGGCTGGCCAGCTCTGCCGGATGCCTTTAGCCACGGAACTCACCTCCTTACAGGTCTGACTTAAGTTGCCTTGAGGTGGGGGGAACTGTGACCCCTCCTACCCTACCTGCTCTCCCCGCCCCCACCCAGGCAGGCCGAAGATTCCAGAACATGGGCCAGCAGTCCCTTTGCTTGTCCTGTTCTCTGCACCCCCAGCCAGTCCTCTGGCCACACAGGTGGCGACCACAGGGCAGCTGCCGCCTGGATGCCGTTTGCACAGACCTGACCCAGGCCCGTCTTCAGAGCCAGTGGTGCCCCTTGTTTGTCACAGTGACCCTGCAGGGCCAGGGTTCAGGACCACCCTCCGAGAGGTCAGGGGACGTGCCCAAGGCCACCCAGCGAGGGCAGGTGGGGCAGGGTTGGTTCCAGGGCCAGCTTCCCGGGCCGGTGGCACCCAGAAGGCCCCACGCTTGGTTTTTACACTTTGCTGTCGCCGTGATGAAGTTTTTAACACCCGTGGAACCAGGAGACCCACGCTTTCCTTTCGCACCAGCGCTGCAGACTGAGGCGGGCTGGCTCTCACCGCCCCCCGTCTCTCCGCCGCTCCTGCCACGTCGCAGCTGCGGTGGGTGTTGGCAAGGGGGGGCCTGGAGCGGCTGTGCACCCCAGAAATCCCCTTGGCCTGCTCCACCCCCACGCCCTGGGAACCAGGAGTCAGCCGGGG